CCCCAAAACCCCAAAACCCCAAAACCCCTCAAAGAAAATGTTAATGTAAATTAAGCATGAATGAATGATAAGTTAATTTAATTTATTTATTGCGAATTAAATGAAAGATAAATAAGATTACCAGAGCAAATACTCCGCAGTTTCCAATGCTAAAGTTACCTCATCAAAAACTACAACTAACACTAAATAATCTAATTCTACTCGAACAACAACAGTTAAAACTTCAAGTACTGTTGTAAATAAAAAAAGTACAGTATAAACTACAAGTAATGTAAAAAGTTCCAAGAATTTGAGAAGCTCTAGCAGTGCTTAGCAAGAGATAGTAGTAGTCTCAACTTCTTAGCAGTAGCATCATCAGTTAGAAAACATCAATCAAGAACATTATTCAGTAGTAAAGTAGCAGTAGATTCGAGAGTAGCATTTTGAATATCAATAATAAGAATCAGTCAGCTAGCAAGATGATTAGTAATAGCTAGAAGATGATGATCAGTTGGAATTTATGCAATTGGAACAATAGATATCAAATGATTAGCAGAATTCTGAATAGAATTCTCAACAATAAGAAGTCATTCAAGAAAATTCTATATAAGAAGAGAACTCATAATAGAATTAGGAAACATTTGAAAATGATGGATAGATATTACAGCAGTAATATGTTTTGAGTGATAATAACTAGCATTAGATTGAAACTGAAATCATAGAGGAATAGAAAAGCTAAAACTTGAATCAGAGCCTAAGAAGCAATTAGATCGGGGGTGTAGGTGAATCAAATGGGACTTCTGATACTGAAGATTTAGGTAATGTGATGTTAAGCAAGCAAAAAAGCGAAATGGGGGCTGGAGATAGGACTGGCAATAATAGAAAGCGCAAGCTATCTAGAGTTGATGAGGAGATTAAGCAAACATTAGAAAATAATAATCATAGAAGTGAGGACATGATTTAAGTCGCCTACTAATCAAAATATAGAGATGCATAGTCAGATACTTTTATCCCTCTTGATTAGTCAGAAACCTCATCTAGAAAAGACATAAAGAAGTCAAAAGCAGGAGCAGTCACTCATAAAGAGAAACCGAAGTCTATTAACAATCAAGCCAATCATCATAAGAAAAGAAGGACAGAAAATGGAGAGTCTAAAGCCAACTCAAAATCAAATATAAACTAAAAAAAGAGGAATAACGATGAAAGGAGTTAGTAGTTAGATGAATCATAAGCCTCGAAAGCATAATAGAAAGCTTAAAAATCACAAATGCTATAGGATCCGTTTCAAAATCTAACACCCCAGTAGTAGGCTTAAATGGTGTAGATGCAGCAACAAAACCCATGGATGCAAATGATGTAACTCTAAATGGGTATGTATCCCTAGAGCAATATGATGAATTAATATGGACCTTATGGAATGAATGGAATGATGCAAATGAGTATGCCCTACTAATAAAGATTTATGCCAGGAGCTCCTTAAATGGGTTTTGGTGGAATGCAGTATCCACAATATATGGGATATCAACCATAGTATATTAATTAAGGCAACTCTAATCCACTAATGAATTAGCAACCCCAGCCGTAATACAGTACTCCTTAATAACTTGACACCTAGTAACTGGATTAAATGATTTAGGCAATGAAGTAAATGAAAGAATTAGGTCAGCTGCCTTAAAACCTGCAAGACACTTTGGAATAATATGAAGGCATTAAGGCTTAAATCCAGGAAATCCAAAATGAAAACCAAATGCTTGAAAATGAACTTTAGAAGCCATCTGAGGACATGCTAAATTAATCCTACATACTAGGAGAGCTACCCTTGCAATAAAAAATATAGATTCGAAGGGATGAAATGCTATAGCAGAGAAGAAATTCTGAGATGAGAAATCCATCATAAATTGGGATGAATGTTATAAATAATAATGAAGTGATACTCGGTAAATAGGAATCTGAGAAAAATGAAGAGTAAAAACAGGAATCATAAAAGGAGTAGGAGGACTACTAAGTAGTTGAAGTCATGGTAGAGGTTTAGAACAGTGTGACTGAAGGTACGATAAAAGAGAACCCAACTGATATGCCTCAGCCAATGGGAACAGTAATGTCTGAGCAGAGGTTCCAATAACAGTAGTAGCTACAATCATCTCACAGATAGTCCTTGATCAACAACAATCCACCAGAAGAGATAAATGAATAAGATTTAGTTTTGAAAGAGATAGCTTATCTGGCATCGAAAGGACATGACCCTACTCCAGAACTTGAAAAGGAAAATGAGGAATTGGCTTTCGAGCTGGAAACAGCAAAAAAACGGGAGAGAGATTTGCTATAGTCAGTAAATGCACTCCAGTATGAAAATGACATACTTTTTGGCAAGTCAAACTCAATGGATCACTCAGTTTAGAATTATGGAAAGCGCCTTGAAGAGTTGAGCAAGCAAATAGATGAATTAAATGCCATTTTGAGAATAAAAGACTCAGAGATGATAGAGATGACCAATGAGATTCATAACCTCAGAATGATGAAGGAAGCTATGAGAAAGGAGATAATCTTTAGAAAACAAAGAGAAGATTAGCTTGAAAGTAACATCCGCAAGTTGTAAGTTTAGGTTGATAGAGCTTAATTTGAATCAGATGACATCAGAGTCTAACTTAACGAGGAGACATAGAGTAATAATGAGTTTAAAGAGCAAAATAAATATATTAAGTAGCAGATTGAGAGGTTCAGAACTGAGATATAAGAAGATTAAGAGAAAAATGACTAGATTAAACATCAGATAAATAACATTCAAGCTAGATAAAACGATTATGAGTCTAAGTAGTTTTCATATAAGAATCAGGTTGATAGGTTGAAGAATGAGAATGATTAAATCATGGTTGATTTAAGTTATGCTAAGGCAACTACCGACAATTAAAGAGATGCCTACCAAAAACTGAATGATTACTATTAGAAGCAAGTGATGATAAATTAAGATTTAGATTAGCAGAGAGAAGGCTTAATGCTTAATAAGAATCACTAGCAATCTGAGACACAGTTTAAATAAATCTAGTCCAAGACTAGTAGACATTCAACTGCGATTTAATTTTAAGAATCTAGTTTGCCAATGCCTAAATAAACTGGAAGATTTTCTATTGCTTAGAAGAAGCTCGAGAGCATTATGGAGAGATAAAACTCTTCATAACCTTTTGAATAGGCTTAGGCCTCAGGGCAGCTAAATCAATATCTTTATCAGTAAGATACGGATAGAAGAGTGAGCTTTAATGTTGAAGACATGAAGAGAAGTTCGTCTCAAGGAAAGGGGAACATGATTACGCAATCTAGAAATTTCTAAGCTGACAATAGTTTCAAGAATAACTCGTTTTCAAAGTATTAGGATATTAATGCACTCAACAGTTCAAGAATCAAGACAATCTTATTTGACCTTGGTGAGTAAAAAGAGGATTTAAATAGCAGTATAACTGGATAGAAGACCAGAGGAGGGGTATTATCTTAAACTAGAGAATTCTAAAATAGAAACTTCCTTCAGCAAATGCCAAACATCCTTGAGTGGCAGGATAAGACTTAAAGAGGTGTGAGTAGTGGCTATAACTAGCTAGGCATGGATTAACCTTACAGAGAGTATGCAGGTGGCGTGTCTAAAGCAGACCAGTCTGGACTTAATAATTCCTTCAACAATGGAACAGCTAATGGCAAAACCAGACTTTAATTGCAGGCAAAGTCTGAGAGTATGCTAAAGAAGAATGTGGACAGCTATAAAAGAGGAGGTCCTCCAGCAATCAGTGTGACTATTGACCCTTATGATCCCAGCTAGAAGTATACTTATGCAGCAGGGGGCTAGAGGTCTGAGAGATATACAGCTGGAAATAGCAGTGCAATGAATAGCAATAACAATATTAACTAATCTTTTAACCTACAGTAGTAAGGAGAAGACATGCACAATGCTTCAGTCAATTATGGCTTAAATAACTCAATGCAGATAAACACCAAAGGCACAGGTCGCATGAAGGTTGGAGACCAGAGCTTAAAGCAGAGTGATCCGATTCAAACAGTGAAGCGAGACACCTAGAAGATCAACTAGCTGAGAGATGAGTTGAATGTGTGCTCGACTAGAAGAGAGCGAATCAACGGAGAAATCAACAAGATATCTGATAAGAACAGGGACGGTAAGTAAAAGCGAAACAACTTGGAAAGTGAGATGAAGCAGCTTAACAAAAAGATAGGAGATATTAAGCTGCAGCTCAAGAAAATGGATGCACTCAAACCCATTCTGTGAAAATGACCGAGCTTAAGAAATTTTCTCAAATTGAATGTAATAAGTGAACAATTAAAATGGTTTTAATTATAGTTTTTTTATTAAGTAAATAATCCAATAAATTTATGGGGTTTTGGGGTTTTGGGGTTTTGGGGTTTTGGGG